TCAGGAGGAGATGGGATGTTATGGTGGTGTTAGTGTCAGGAGGAGATGGGGTGTTATGGTGTTCTTAGTGACAGGTTAGTGTCAGGAGGAGATGGGGTGATATGGTGTTGTTAGTGTCAGCAGGAGATGGGATGTTATGGTGGTGTTAGTGTCAGGAGGAGATGGGATGTTATGGTGGTGTTAGTGTCAGGTTAGTGTCAGGAGGAGATGGGATGTTATGGTGGTGTTAGTGTCAGGAGGAGATGGGGTGTTATGGTGGTTTTAGTGTCAGGTTAGTGTCAGGAGGAGATGGGGTGTTATGGTGGTGTTAGTGTCAGGTTAGTGTCAGGAGGTAGTGTCAGGAGGAGATGGGATGTTATGGTGTTGTTAGTGTCAGGTTAGTGTCAGGAGGAGATGGGATGTTATGGTGTTGTTAGTGTCAGGTTAGTGTCAGGAGGAGATGGGATGTTATGGTGTTGTTAGTGTCACGTTAGTGTCTGGAGAAGATGGGATGTTATGTTGGTTTTAGTATCAGGTTAATGGCAGGAGGAGATGGGATGTTATGGTGGTTTTAGTATCAGGTTAGTGTCCGAAGATGGGATGTTATGATGGTGTTAGTGTCAGGAGGAGATTGGGTGTTATGGTGTTGTTAGTGACAGGTTAGTGTCAGGAGGAGATGGGGTGTTATGGTGGTGTTAGTGTCAGGAGATGGGATGTTATGGTAGTGTTAGTGTCAGGTTAGTGTCAGGAGGAGATGGGATGTTATGATGGTGTTAGTGTCAGGTTAGTGTCAGGAGGAGATGGGGTGCTATGGTGGTGTTAGTGTCAGGTTAGTGTCAGGAGGAGATGGGGTGTTATGGTGGTGTTAGTGTCAGGAGATGGGATGTTATGGTAGTGTTAGTGTCAGGTTAGTGTCAGGAGGAGATGGGATGTTATGATGGTGTTAGTGTCAGGAGGAGATGGGATGTTATGGTGGTGTTAGTGTCAGGAGGAGATGGGATGTTATGGTGGTGTTAGTGTCAGGAGAAGATGGGGTGTTATGGTGTTGTTAGTGTCAGGTTAGTGTCAGGAGGAGATGGGGTGTTATGGTGGTGTTAGTGTCAGGTTAGTGTCAGGAGGAGATGGAGTGTTATGGTGTTGTTAGTGTCAGGTTAGTGTGAAGAGATGGTATGTTATGGTCAGGTTAGTGTCAGGAGGAGATGAGGTGTTATGGTGATGTTAGTCAGGTTAGTGTGAGGAGATGGGATGTTATGGTGGTGTTAGTGTCAGGTTAGTGTGAGGAGGAGATGGCGTGTAATGGTGGTGTTAGTGTCAGGTTAGTGTGAGGAGATGGGATGTTATGGTGGTGTAAGTGTCAGGAGGAGATGGGATGGTATGGTGGTGTTAGTGTCAGGTTAGTGTCAGGAGGAGATGGGGTGTTATGGTGGTGTTAGTGTCAGGAGGAGATGGGATGTTATGGTAGTGTTAGTGTCAGGTTAGTGTCAGGAGGAGATGGGATGTTATGATGGTGTTAGTGTCAGGAGGAGATGGGATGTTATGGTGATGTTAGTGTCAGGTTAGTGTCAGGAGGAGATGGGATGTTATGGTGGTGTTAGTGTGAGGAGGAGATGGGGTGTTATGATGGTGTTAGTGTCAGGTTAGTGTCAGGAGGAGATGGGGTGTTATGGTGTTGTTAGTGTCAGGAGGAGATGGGATGTTATGGTGTTGTTAGTGTCAGGAGGAGATGGGATGTTATGGTGGTGTTAGTGTCAGGTTAGTGTCATGAGGAGATGGGATGTTATGGTGGTGTTAGTGTCAGGTTAGTGTCAGGAGGAGATGGGGTGTTATGGTGGTGTAAGTGTCAGGTTAGTGTCAGGAGATGGTAATTTATGGTGGTGTTAGTATCAGGTTAGTGTCAGGAGGAGATGGGATGTTATGGTGGTGTTCGTGTCAGGAGGAGATGGGATGTTATGGTGGTGTTAGTGTCAGGTTAGTGTCAGGAGATGGGAAGTTATGGTGGTGTAAGTGTCAGGAGGAGATGGTAATTTATGGTGTTGTTAGTATCAGGTTAGTGTCAGGAGGAGATGGGATGTTATGGTGGTGTTCGTGTCAGGAGGAGATGGGATGTTATGGTGGTGTTAGTGTCAGGTTAGTGTCAGGAGATGGGAAGTTATGGTGGTGTAAGTGTCAGGAGGAGATGGGATGTTATGGTGGTGTTAGTGTCAGGTTAGTGTCAGGAGGAGATGGGATGTTATGGTGGTGTTAGTGTCAGGTTAGTGACAGGAGGAGATGGGATGTTATGATGGTGTTAGTGTCAGGAGGAGATGGGATGTTATAGTGATGTTAGTGTCAGGTTAGTGTCAGGAGGAGATGGGATGTTATGGTGGTGTTAGTGTCAGGAGGAGATGGGGTGTTATGGTGTTCTTAGTGACAGGTTAGTGTCAGGAGGAGATGGGGTGATATGGTGTTGTTAGTGTCAGCAGGAGATGGGATGTTATGGTGGTGTTAGTGTCAGGAGGAGATGGGATGTTATGGTGGTGTTAGTGTCAGGTTAGTGTCAGGAGGAGATGGGATGTTATGGTGGTGTTAGTGTCAGGAGGAGATGGGGTGTTATGGTGGTTTTAGTGTCAGGTTAGTGTCAGGAGGAGATGGGGTGTTATGGTGGTGTTAGTGTCAGGTTAGTGTCAGGAGGTAGTGTCAGGAGGAGATGGGATGTTATGGTGTTGTTAGTGTCAGGTTAGTGTCAGGAGGAGATGGGATGTTATGGTGTTGTTAGTGTCACGTTAGTGTCTGGAGAAGATGGGATGTTATGTTGGTTTTAGTATCAGGTTAATGGCAGGAGGAGATGGGATGTTATGGTGGTTTTAGTATCAGGTTAGTGTCCGAAGATGGGATGTTATGATGGTGTTAGTGTCAGGAGGAGATTGGGTGTTATGGTGTTGTTAGTGACAGGTTAGTGTCAGGAGGAGATGGGGTGTTATGGTGGTGTTAGTGTCAGGAGATGGGATGTTATGGTAGTGTTAGTGTCAGGTTAGTGTCAGGAGGAGATGGGATGTTATGATGGTGTTAGTGTCAGGTTAGTGTCAGGAGGAGATGGGGTGCTATGGTGGTGTTAGTGTCAGGTTAGTGTCAGGAGGAGATGGGGTGTTATGGTGGTGTTAGTGTCAGGAGATGGGATGTTATGGTAGTGTTAGTGTCAGGTTAGTGTCAGGAGGAGATGGGATGTTATGATGGTGTTAGTGTCAGGAGGAGATGGGATGTTATGGTGGTGTTAGTGTCAGGAGGAGATGGGATGTTATGGTGGTGTTAGTGTCAGGAGAAGATGGGGTGTTATGGTGTTGTTAGTGTCAGGTTAGTGTCAGGAGGAGATGGGGTGTTATGGTGTTGTTAGTGTCAGGTTAGTGTCAGGAGGAGATGGGGTGTTATGGTGTTGTTAGTGTCAGGAGGAGATGGGATGTTATGGTGTTGTTAGTGTCAGGTTAGTGTCAGGAGGAGATGGGGACGTTATGGTGTTGTTAGTGTCAGGTTAGTGTCAGGAGGAGATGGGATGTTATGGTGGTGTTAGTGTCAGGTTAGTGTCAGGAGGAGATGGGATGTTATGGTGTGCTTAGTGACAGGTTAGTGTCAGGAGGAGATGGGGTGATATGGTGTTGTTAGTGTCAGCAGGAGATGGGGTGTTATGGTGTTGTTAGTGTCAGGAGGAGATGGGATGTTATGGTGTTGTTAGTGTCAGGTTAGTGTCAGGAGGAGATGGGATGTTATGGTGGTGTTAGTGTCAGGTTAGTGTCAGGAGGAGATGGGGCGTATGGTGGTGTTAGTGTCAGGAGGAGATGGGGTGTTATGGTGGTGTTAGTGTCAGGTTAGTGTCAGGAGGAGATGGGATGTTATGGTGGTGTTAGTGTCAGGAGGAGATGGGGCGTATGGTGGTGTTAGTGTCAGGAGGAGATGGGGTGTTATGGTGGTGTTAGTGTCAGGTTAGTGTCAGGAGGAGATGGGGTGTTATGGTGGTGTTAGTGTCAGGAGGAGATGGGGCGTATGGTGGTGTTAGTGTCAGGAGGAGAGGGGATGTTATGTAGAAGACCATCCACTTCAGTGTGGAAGACGGTGGTGTATAAGAAATGAAAATCTGTCCATCAGCCATCCTTCTTTATAACTTGATCAGCATATCATTCATGTTTTCCTTGTGGACATCGACCATGTCAGCCTTTTACCATTCAGAGTTTGCAGTTGATGATAGTTGATGGTTTTTTATGTATGAAAACAGCAATATATAAACTACCAGGACAGAGAGTGTTTGAGTGAAACAGGTTATCTTCATCTGGGGCTTTTGGCATTTTCTGGTAAATTGTGATATTTCACTTTTCTGACATAAGGTCAGATACTTCGGGTTTGTTTCCTTGATCCTGAGGTGGTGGGGCTGGAAACGCTTGTGCAACGTTAGGCTGTGTGACTTAAACCAAGAGGGTTATACTGACCAATCAGAGACCGGGATCTTCAACAGGCCATGTCTGATGTCTTCTCATGAGTTGTGGAGATATCGTTGTGTTCAGAGGAGGTATGATGTCTGACTGTGTTACCATGACATCTTACTCTATGGTTTCTGACAAATCTATCCCCATGTCACTACAGCCCTCTCCCCATGTCACTACAGCCCTCCCCATGTCACTACAGCCCTCTCCCCATGTCACTACAGCCCTCTCCCCATGTCACTACAGCCCCCTCCCCATGTCACTACACCTCTCCCCATGTCACTACAGCCCTCCCCATGTCACTACAGCCCTCTCCCTATGTCACTACAGCCCTCCCCATGTCACTACAGCCCTCTCCCTATGTCGCTACAGCCCCCTCCCCATGTCACTACAGCCCCCCCCCCCCCACCCCCCCCCATGTCACTACAGCCCCCCCCACCCCTCCCCATGTCACTACAGCCCCCCCCCCCACCCCTCCCCATGTCACTACAGCCCCCCCCCCCACCCCCCCATGTCACTACAGCCCCCCCCCCACCCACCCCCATGTCACTACAGCCCCCCCCACCCCTCCCCATGTCACTACAGCCCCCTCCCCATGTCACTACAGCCCTCCCCATGTCACTACAGCCCTCTCCCTATGTCACTACAGCCCTCCCCATGTCACTACAGCCCTCTCCCCATGTCACTACAGCCTCTCCCTATGTCACTACAGCCCCCTCCCCATGTCACTACAGCCCTCCCCATGTCACTACAGCCCTCCCCATGTCACTACAGCCCTCTCCCCATGTCACTACAGCCTCTCCCTATGTCACTACAGCCCTCCCCATATCACTACAGCCCTCTCCCCATGTCACTACAGCCCTCCCCCATGTCACTACAGCCTCTCCCTATGTCACTACAGCCCTCTCCATGTCACTACAGCCCTCCCCCATGTCACTACAGCCTCTCCCTATGTCACTACAGCCCTCTCCATATCACTACAGCCCTCTCCCCATGTCACTACAGCCCTCTCCCCATGTCACTACAGCCCTCTCCCTATGTCACTACAGCCTCTCCCTATGTCACTACAGCCCTCCCCATATCACTACAGCCCTCTCCCCATGTCACTACAGCCCTCTCCCCATGTCACTACAGCCCTCTCCCCATGTCACTACAGCCTCTCCCTATGTCACTACAGCCCTCCCCATGTCACTACAGCCCCCTCCCCATGTCACTACAGCCCCCTCCCCATGTCACTACAGCCCCCTCCCCATGTCACTACAGCCCTCCCCATGTCACTACAGCCCCCTCCCCATGTCACTACAGCCCTCCCCATGTCACTACAGCCCCCTCCCCATGTCACTACAGCCCCCTCCCCATGTCACTACAGCCCTCCCCATGTCACTACAGCCCTCCCCATGTCACTACAGCCCTCCCCATGTCACTACAGCCCCCTCCCCATGTCACTACAGCCCTCCCCATATCACTACAGCCCTCTCCCCATGTCACTACAACCCTCCCCATGTCACTACAGCCCTCCCCATGTCACTACAGCCCTCCCCATGTCACTACAGCCTCTCCCTATGTCACTACACCCCCCCCCCCCCCCCCATGTCACTACAACCCTCCCCATGTCACTACAGCCCCCCCCCATGTCACTACAGCCCCCCCCATGTCACTACAGCCCTCCCCATGTCACTACAGCCCCCTCCCCATGTCACTACAGCCCCCCCCATGTCACTACAGCCCCCCCCATGTCACTACAACCCTCCCCATGTCACTACAGCCCTCCCCATGTCACTACAGCCCCCCCCATGTCACTACAACCCTCCCCATGTCACTACAGCCCTCCCCATGTCACTACAGCCCTCCCCATGTCACTACACTCCTCCCCATGTCACTACAGCCCTCCCCATGTCACTACAGCCCCCCCCATGTCACTACAACCCTCCCCATGTCACTACAGCCCTCCCCATGTCACTACAGCCCTCCCCATGTCACTACAACCCTCCCCATGTCACTACAGCCCTCCCCATGTCACTACAGCCCTCCCCATGTCACTACAGCCCTCCCCATGTCACTACAGCCCTCCCCATGTCACTACAGCCCCCTCCCCATGTCACTACAGCCCTCCCCATGTCACTACAGCCCTCCCCATGTCACTACACCCCTCCCCATGTCACTACAGCCCTCTCCCCATGTCACTACAGCCCCCTCCCCATGTCACTACAGCCCTCCCCATGTCACTACAGCCCTCTCCCCCCCATGTCACTACAGCCCTCCCCATGTCACTACAGCCCTCCCCATGTCACTACAGCCCTCTCCCCATGTCACTACAGCCCCCTCCCCATGTCACTACAGCCCTCCCCATGTCACTACAGCCCTCTCCCCATGTCACTACAACCCTCCCCATGTCACTACAGCCCTCTCCCCATGTCACTACAGCCCCCTCCCCATGTCACTACAGCCCTCCCCATGTCACTACAGCCTCTCCCCATGTCACTACAGCCTCTCCCTATGTCACTACACCCCCCCCCCCCCCCATGTCACTACAACCCTCCCCATGTCACTACAGCCCCCCCCCATGTCACTACAGCCCTCCCCATGTCACTACAGCCCTCCCCATGTCACTACAGCCTCTCCCCATGTCACTACAGCCCTCCCCATGTCACTACACCCCTCCCCCATGTCACTACACCCCCCCCCCCCCCCCCCATGTCACTACAGCCCTCTCCCCATGTCACTACAGCCCTCCCCATGTCACTACAGCCTCTCCCTATGTCACTACAACCCTCCCCATGTCACTACAGCCCTCCCCATGTCACTACAGCCTCTCCCTATGTCACTACACCCCCCCCCCCCCCCATGTCACTACAACCCTCCCCATGTCACTACAGCCCCCCCCCATGTCACTACAGCCCTCCCCATGTCACTACAGCCCTCCCCATGTCACTACAGCCTCTCCCCATGTCACTACACCCCTCCCCCATGTCACTACACCCCCCCCCCCCCCCCCCATGTCACTACAGCCCTCTCCCCATGTCACTACAGCCCTCCCCATGTCACTACAGCCTCTCCCTATGTCACTACAGCCCCCTCCCCATGTCACTACAACCCTCCCCATGTCACTACAGCCCTCCCCATGTCACTACAGCCCTCCCCATGTCACTACAGCCCTCTCCCCATGTCACTACAACCCTCCCCATGTCACTACAGCCCTCTCCCCATGTCACTACAGCCCCCTCCCCATGTCACTACAGCCCTCCCCATGTCACTACAGCCCTCTCCCCATGTCACTACAACCCTCCCCATGTCACTACAGCCCTCTCCCCATGTCACTACAGCCCCCTCCCCATGTCACTACAACCCTCCCCATGTCACTACAGCCCTCCCCATGTCACTACAGCCTCTCCCCATGTCACTACAGCCCTCTCCCCATGTCACTACAGCCCTCCCCATGTCACTACAGCCCTCATTCTGTCAGTCTCAGATACCGGACTGCCTGACTTAGTCTCAGATACCGGACTGCCTGACTTAGTCTCAGATACCGGACTGCCTGACCTAGCCGGACATCTTGCTGATATTTGTCTGCAGATTAGAGACACACGACCCTGTGTCCTCTGACGTTGTCCAGGTTTTCGTCTGGCAAACACTGGTCCAGGTGAGCTACACTTCTTGTCACAGGGCCCCAGTGGTCTGGTATCTGCTGAACGTGACGGGAGTGGCAAGTCTGTCGGCAATCAGATTACTAGGATACTTCACCAACTTGTCAGCGGAACTGGACACACTTGTGCTTTATGGAACCTGTTTACCTTCAATTGCCACCTTGTTGGAAAGAGATGTCCGTGTTTGTTGCCAGCTCTGTCAGTAGACCGCCCCCTCACACAACGCACACAACGCACAACGCACACATCAACTCAGGGGATCAGAACCGAGTTGTTTATGTTGTATAATGAAGCAGCTTGAGTGGGGACCTTGACGACATCCTTGATGACAACCTTGACGACATCCTTGACGACATCCTTGATGACATCCTTGATGACATCCTTGACGACATCCTTGACGACATCCTTGACGACATCCTAGACGACATCCTTGACGACATCCTTGACGACATCCTTGATGAAGGAACTCGCATGTGGACAGCATCTTCATTGAAAGAATAAAGAAGTTATCTAAGTCAAGTCTTCATGGATACTACAGCATCATACTGAGTTCAAAGTTCAGTGACTACTGGGAGCTTGATCTATCTTCCCAAACTGGTGTCCACAAGACACTACTGCTTGTATGCTTCGCAGACCATTGTGATGTCATCAGTTACAGTGCTCACAATCAAGTGACATCACAAATCTCTCGGCTGCTGGGGCTGGTTACCTGTACTGTTTACACACATGACACTTGTTATTACTGTTTACACACATGACACTGGTTATTACTGTTTACACACATGACACTGGTTATTACTGTTTACACACATAGCACTGGTTATTACTGTTTACACACATGACACTGGTTATTACTGTTACCCACATGACACTGGTTATTACTGTTTACACACATGGCACTTGTTATTACTGTTTACACACATGACACTGGTTATTACTGTTTACACACATAGCACTGGTTATTACTGTTTACACACATGGCACTTGTTATTACTGTTTACACACATGACACTGGTTATTACTGTTTACACACATAGCACTTGTTATTACTGTTTACACACATGGCACTTGTTATTACTGTTTACACACATGACACTGGTTATTACTGTTTACACACATGACACTGGTTATTACTGTTTACACACATGGCACTTGTTATTACTGTTTACACACATGACACTTGTTATTACTGTTTACACACATGACACTTGTTATTACTGTTTACACACATGGCACTGGTTATTACTGTTTACACACATGACACTTGTTATTACTGTTTACACACATGACACTTGTTATTACTGTTTACACACATGACACTTGTTATTACTGTTTACACACATGGCACTGGTTATTACTGTTTACACACATGGCACTGGTTATTACTGTTTACACACATGACACTTGATATTACTGTTTACACACATGACACTTGTTATTACTGTTTACACACATGGCACTGGTTATTACTGTTTACACACATGGCACTGGTTATTACTGTTTACCCACATGACACTGGTTATTACTGTTTACACACATGACACTTGTTATTACTGTTTACACACATGACACTGGTTATTACTGTTTACACACATAGCACTGGTTATTACTGTTTACACACATGACACTTGTTATTACTGTTTACACACATGGCACTGGTTATTACTGTTTACTAACATGACACTGGTTATTACTGTTTACACACATGGCACTGGTTATTACTGTTTACACACATAGCACTGGTTATTACTGTTTACACACATGACACTGGTTATTACTGTTTACACACATAGCACTGGTTATTACTGTTTACACACATGACACTGGTTATTACTGTTTACACACATAGCACTGGTTATTACTGTTTACACACATGACACTGGTTATTACTGTTTACACACATGACACTGGTTATTACTGTTTACACACATGACACTGGTTATTACTGTTTACACACATAGCACTGGTTATTACTGTTTACACACATGACACTGGTTATTACTGTTACCCACATGACACTGGTTATTACTGTTTACACACATGGCACTTGTTATTACTGTTTACACACATGACACTGGTTATTACTGTTTACACACATGGTACTTGTTATTACTGTTTACACACATAGCACTGGTTATTACTGTTTACACACATGGCACTTGTTATTACTGTTTACACACATGACACTGGTTATTACTGTTTACACACATGACACTTGTTATTACTGTTTACACACATGGCACTTGTTATTACTGTTTACACACATGACACTGGTTATTACTGTTTACACACATGGCACTTGTTATTACTGTTTACACACATGACACTGGTTATTACTGTTTACACACATGGCACTTGTTATTACTGTTTACACACATGACACTGGTTATTACTGTTTACACACATGGCACTGGTTATTACTGTTTACACACATAGCACTGGTTATTACTGTTTACACACATGACACTTGATATTACTGTTTACACACATAGCACTTGTTATTACTGTTTACACACATGACACTTGTTATTACTGTTTACACACATGGCACTTGTTATTACTGTTTACACACATGACACTGGTTATTACTGTTTACACACATGGCACTTGTTATTACTGTTTACACACATGACACTGGTTATTACTGTTTACACACATGGCACTGGTTATTACTGTTTACACACATAGCACTGGTTATTACTGTTTACACACATGACACTTGATATTACTGTTTACACACATAGCACTGGTTATTACTGTTTACACACATGACACTTGTTATTACTGTTTACACACATGGCACTGGTTATTACTGTTTACACACATGGCACTGGTTATTACTGTTTACACACATGACACTTGATATTACTGTTTACACACATGACACTGGTTATTACTGTTTACACACATGACACTTGATATTACTGTTTACACACATAGCACTGGTTATTACTGTTTACACACATGGCACTTGTTATTACTGTTTACACACATGACACTGGTTATTACTGTTTACACACATGGCACTGGTTATTACTGTTTACACACATAGCACTGGTTATTACTGTTTACACACATGGCACTTGATATTACTGTTTACACACATAGCACTGGTTATTACTGTTTACACACATGGCACTGGTTATTACTGTTACCCACATGACACTGGTTATTACTGTTTACACACATGACACTTGTTATTACTGTTTACACACATGACACTTGTTATTACTGTTTACACACATGACACTTGTTATTACTGTTTACACACATGGCACTGGTTATTACTGTTTACACACATGGCACTGGTTATTACTGTTTACACACATAGCACTGGTTATTACTGTTTACACACATGACACTGGTTATTACTGTTTACACACATAGCACTGGTTATTACTGTTTACACACATGACACTGGTTATTACTGTTTACACACATGACACTGGTTATTACTGTTTACACACATGGCACTGGTTATTACTGTTTACACACATGGCACTGGTTATTACTGTTTACACACATGACACTGGTTATTACTGTTACCCACATGACACTGGTTATTACTGTTTACACACATGGCACTTGTTATTACTGTTTACACACATGACACTGGTTATTACTGTTTACACACATGGTACTTGTTATTACTGTTTACACACATGACACTGGTTATTACTGTTTACACACATGACACTGGTTATTACTGTTTACACACATGGCACTGGTTATTACTGTTTACACACATGGCACTGGTTATTACTGTTTACACACATGACACTGGTTATTACTGTTACCCACATGACACTGGTTATTACTGTTTACACACATGGCACTTGTTATTACTGTTTACACACATGACACTGGTTATTACTGTTTACACACATGGCACTGGTTATTACTGTTTACACACATGACACTGGTTATTACTGTTTACACACATGACACTGGTTATTACTGTTACCCACATGACACTGGTTATTACTGTTTACACACATGGCACTTGTTATTACTGTTTACACACATGACACTGGTTATTACTGTTTACACACATGGTACTTGTTATTACTGTTTACACACATAGCACTGGTTATTACTGTTTACACACATGGCACTTGTTATTACTGTTTACACACATGACACTGGTTATTACTGTTTACACACATGACACTGGTTATTACTGTTTACACACATGACACTTGTTATTACTGTTTACACACATGGCACTGGTTATTACTGTTTACACACATGGCACTGGTTATTACTGTTTACACACATAGCACTGGTTATTACTGTTTACACACATGACACTGGTTATTACTGTTTACACACATGACACTGGTTATTACTGTTTACACACATGGCACTTGTTATTACTGTTTACACACATGACACTGGTTATTACTGTTACCCACATGACACTGGTTATTACTGTTTACACACATGGCACTGGTTATTACTGTTTACACACATGACACTGGTTATTACTGTTTACACACATGACACTTGTTATTACTGTTTACACACATGACACTTGTTATTACTGTTTACACACATGGCACTGGTTATTACTGTTTACACACATGGCACTGGTTATTACTGTTTACACACATAGCACTGGTTATTACTGTTTACACACATGGCACTGGTTATTACTGTTTACACACATGACACTGGTTATTACTGTTTACACACATGGCACTTGTTATTACTGTTTACACACATGACACTGGTTATTACTGTTACCCACATGACACTGGTTATTACTGTTTACACACATGGCACTGGTTATTACTGTTTACACACATGACACTGGTTATTACTGTTTACACACATGGCACTGGTTATTACTGTTACCCACATGACACTGGTTATTACTGTTTACACACATGACACTGGTTATTACTGTTACCCACATGACACTGGTTATTACTGTTTACACACATGGCACTGGTTATTACTGTTTACACACATGACACTGGTTATTACTGTTTACACACATGGCACTGGTTATTACTGTTACCCACATGACACTGGTTATTACTGTTTACACACATGACACTTGTTATTACTGTTTACACACATGACACTGGTTATTACTGTTTACACACATGGCACTTGTTATTACTGTTTACACACATGACACTGGTTATTACTGTTACCCACATGACACTGGTTATTACTGTTTACACACATGGCACTGGTTATTACTGTTACCCACATGACACTGGTTATTACTGTTTACACACATGGCACTTGTTATTACTGTTTACACACATGGCACTGGTTATTACTGTTTACACACATGACACTGGTTATTACTGTTTACACACATGACACTGGTTATTACTGTTTACACACATGACACTGGTTATTACTGTTTACACACATGGCACTTGATATTACTGTTTACACACATGGCACTGGTTATTACTGTTACCCACATGACACTTGATATTACTGTTTACACACATGACACTTGTTATTACTGTTTACACACATGACACTGGTTATTACTGTTTACACACATGACACTGGTTATTACTGTTTACCCACATGGCACTTGTTATTACTGTTTACACACATGGCACTTGATATTACTGTTTACACACATGGTACTTGTTATTACTGTTTACACACATGACACTTGTTATTACTGTTACCCACATGACACTGGTTATTACTGTTTACCCACATGGCACTGGTTATTACTGTTTACCCACATGGCACTGGTTATTACTGTTTACACACATGACACTTGTTATTACTGTTTACACACATGGCACTGGTTATTACTGTTTACACACATGACACTTGTTATTACTGTTTACACACATGGCACTTGTTATTACTGTTTACACACATGACACTGGTTATTACTGTTTACACACATGGCACTTGTTATTACTGTTTACACACATGACACTTGTTATTACTGTTACCCACATGACACTGGTTATTACTGTTTACACACATGGCACTGGTTATTACTGTTTACACACATGACACTTGTTATTACTGTTACCCACATGACACTGGTTATTACTGTTTACACACATGGCACTGGTTATTACTGTTTACACACATGACACTTGTTATTACTGTTTACACACATGGCACTGGTTATTACTGTTTACAAACTGAAAAAGTTGGAAGAATGAGTTTGGATAATAACTAGAAGACTTGGAGTTTTAAACTTTATTAACTCCGGTAGATATATCTGATATCCAGTCACTGGTTTGAGAGTCTCGACAGAACCTGTATGCCTGACCTATCTCCGGGTGGGAGGCTATACACTATACACAAGCATTCAAATATGGTATATATGACCTAGTTGGTGTGTATGGCAGCATACAGCGATGTCCATCTCTCCTTTCTATGACCCTGGTTGTAAATAATGGGCTATATTGTCGTGGTGTACAATGAGCGTAGTCCTGCGTGAGCTGGAGATATACATCTAGATCAGCAGTAGGCCTGTGCCAAACACTAATATTTTCCGCTCTCTGATTTTCCATGCTTCCAGGTGAGATGAAGAGATGAGAGGAATTTGTGTTCGGCCTGATGAACATGATAAAGTATGTTTTATAAATTTCTGATTGCAATTGTTGGCTTGAAGTCGTTGGGCGCCCGGAGGTGAGAGGGAAAGCCAGGCAGTGGTGTACACAGCAGTAAACCTATCTCCTTGTATCGTGTAATGCATACCTCATTTGGTTTACCTGCCTCAGGTGTGGAGAATAATGTGGCTATTGTCACGGGTCTGTTGTCAGCCGGGCTGGGCGAGATGCAAGGTAGATACTGGAGACGGAGGTAGACTCACACGGCCTCTGTTGCCGTATCTCAACTACTTTCAACAACTCTTGACTGTTCTCAACTGCGAGACTCAACTCGTCTCAACTTTTCTCTCACTCTCGCACCCGCTGCAATTCTCAACTACCATCAATTTTTCTCTCACTCTCAACTTTTCTCAAGTATTCTCTCTCTCAACTTTTCTCTCACTCTCAACTTTTCTCAAGTATTCTCTCACTCTCAACTTTTCTCTCACTCTCAACTTTTCTCAAGTATTCTCTCACTCATTTTTTCTTGACTATTTTCTCGCTCTCAACTTTTCTCGACTATTCTCTCACTCTCAATTTTTCTCAAGTATTCTCTCACTCTCAACTATTTTAACTATTCTCTCACTCTCAACTTTTCTCAAGTATTCCGAAGACCTAGGTTCAATTCCCGACATGGGTACAATGTGTGAAGCCCATTTCTGGTGTCCCCCGCCGTGATATTGCTGGAATATTGCTAAAAGCGGCGTAAAACCATACTCACTCACTCACTCTCAAGTATTCTCTCACTCTCAACTTTTCTCAAGTATTCTCTCACTCAACTTTTCTCGACTCTTCTCTCACTCTCAACTTTTCTCACTCTCACAGCTGCTGCAACTCTCACAACTCTCTCAGTTCTCACATTCTGCTTTGTTGCAACTCTATTGTCATGAGGTATGTGGAAACAAAACCATCCTAAGTGATTTTGACAAAATGTGGAATTTTTAGCTTCACAAGCATATCTCCCCCTTCATTAACAAGTACCTAATGGAATGGAATCTCCGTTTTGTGATACATGCTGAGGCCACATGGCAGCCACATCGACAGTGTCGCTCCCAGACATCTCTGCGTTGTGATATATGCTGAGGCCACATTGACAGTGTCGCTCCCAGACATCTCCGTGTTGTGATATATGCTGAGGCCACATTGACAGTGTCGCTCCCAGACATCTCCGTGTTGTGATACATGCTGAGGCCACATTGACAGTGTCGCTTCCAGACATCTCCGTGATGTGATATATGCTGAGGCCACATGGCAGCCACATTGACAGTGTCGCTCCCAGATATCTCCGTGTTGTGATATATGCTGAGGCCACATGGCAGCCACATTGACAGTGTCGCTCCCAGACATCTCCGTGTTGTGATATATACATGGCAGTCACATTGACAGTGTCGCTCCCAGATATCTCCGTGTTGTGGTATATGCTGAGGCCACATTGACAGTGTCGCTCCCAGACATCTCCGTGTTGTGATATATGCTGAGGCCACATGGCAGCCACATTGACAGTGTCGCTTCCAGACATCTCCGTGTTGTGATATATGCTGAGGCCACATGGCAGCCACATTGACAGTGTCGCTCCCAGATATCTCCGTGTTGTGATATATGCTGAGGCCACATGGCAGCCACATTGACAGTGTCGCTATCAGATATCTCCGTGTTGTGATATATGTTGAGGCCACATTGACAGTGTCCCTGCCAGACATCTCCGTGTTGTGATATATACATGGCAGTCACATTGACAGTGTCGCTCCCAGACATCTCCGTGTTGTGATATATGCTGAGGCCACATTGACAGTGTCGCTCCCAGACATCTCCGTGTTGTGATATATGCTGAGGCCACGTGAATATGGGGACCTCTTTTCCCCATGAGTGTTATTGTCTGCTGTATTTCAGACACTAAATGAGAACATGCAGTCAGTGCCTGAGAGATTTGGAAAATACTGGATCATTGGGTTAGATTTAACATTTCAAATATTTTCTCGTTATTTCGAGGGGTTTTGTCAAAACTTGAAATTTTGCGAAATATTTGAAATAACAAGAAAATAATTGAAATAATGAGTAAGTAATTGAAGTAACAAGAAATTTTGATATAAAAAAAATTAAATAATGCTACCAAAGTGGTACTATAAGCTTTAGTAAGATTTAGAGCAAACTGAACCTTTGAAATTAGATTTAGAGCAAACTGTTCATTTGGTTCGTCGTTTGTTGTTTAACGCTGCACTCAGCACTATTCCTGCTATATGACGGCGGTCTGTAAATAATCAAGTCTGGATGAGACAATCCAGTGATTGACATCATGAGCATCGATCCATGCATCTGGGACACAATGTATATATTAAGTCAGTGAGCCTGACCATCTGATCCCGTGAGTCGCCTCAAGCGACCCTGACCACCTGATCCCGTTAGTTGCCTCTTATGACAAGCATATAGTGCAAACTGGATCATTGAGGTTAGATTCAGAGCAAACTACCAACTATTTGTGTATGCTGCATACTGTACCAACTATTTGTGTATGCTGCATACTGTACCAACTATTTGTGTATGCTGCATACTGTACCAACTATTTGTGTATGCTGCATACTGTACCAACTATTTGTGTATACTGCATACTGTACCAACTATTTCTGTATGCTGCATACTGTACCAACTATTTGTGTATGCTGCATACTGTACCAACTATTTGTGTATGCTGCATACTGTACCAACTATTTGTGTATGCTGCATACTGTACCAACTATTGTGTGTACTGCATACTGTACCCACTATTTCTGTATGCTGCATACTGTACCAACTATTTGTGTATGCTGCATACTGTACCAACTATTGTGTATACTGCATACTGTACCAACTATTGTGTATACTGCATACTGTACCAACTATTTCTGTATGCTGCTTACTGTACTAACTATTTGTGTATGTTGCATACTGTACCAACTATTTGTGTATACTGCATACTGTACCAACTATTTCTGTATGCTGCATACTGTACCAACTATTTCTGTATGCTGCATACTGTACTAACTATTTGTGTATGCTGCATACTGTACCAACTATTTGTGTATGCTGCAAACTGTACCAACTATTTGTGTATGCTGCAAACTGTACCAACTATTGTGTATACTGCATACTGTAACAACTTTTTCTGTATGCTGCATACTGTACCAACTATTTGTGTATGCTGCAAACTGTACCAACTATTTGTGTATGCTGCATACTGTACTAACTATTTGTGTATGCTGCATACTGTACCAACTATTTGTGTTTACTGCATACTGTACCAACTATTTGTGTATGCTGCAAACTGTACCAACTATTGTGTATACTGCATACTGTCACAACTTTTTCTGTATGCTGCATACTGTACCAACTATTTATGTATGCTGCATACTGTACCAACTATTTGTGTATGCTGCATACTGTACCAACTATTTCTGTATGCTGCATACTGTACTAACTATTTGTGTATGCTGCGTACTGTACCAACTATTTGTGTATACTGCATACTGTACCAACTATTTCTGTATGCTGCATACTGTACTAACTATTTGTGTATGCTGCGTACTGTACCAACTATTTGTGTTTACTGCATACTGTACCAACTATTTGTGTATACTGCATACTGTACCAACTATTTGTGTATACTGCATACTGTACAAACTATTGTGTATACTGCATACTGTACCAACTATTTGTGTATGCTGCATACTGTACCAACTATTTGTGTTTACTGCAGGCACTGAGAGAAGACAACGATGAATCGACGCCCTGTTTCAGAATCCGGAAGGTGACACCAGAGCAGATGGAAGTCCTCATGTTGGCGGCACTGGTCCTATCAGGATCTAGTTGCTATGGAGATGAGATGGCATCACACCTGTTGCTGTTGGATAAGCTGCCAGAAGGAATCAGTGCCAAGAACCAACTGCCCCTTGTCATCAGAACCAACTACAGTGTAAGTCACTCACTCACTCACTCACTCACTCACTCACTCACTCACTCACTCACTCACTCACTCACTCACTCACTCACTCACTCACTCACTCACTCACTCACCCACCAACCCACTCACTCACTCACCAACTCACTCAATCACTCACTCAATCACTCACTCAATCACTCACTCACTCAATCACTCACTCACTCAATCACTCACTCACTCACTCACTCACTCACTCACTCACCCACCCACCCACCCACCAACCCACTCACTCACTCACTCAATGTTAACATATACAGCCCCTGGTCTCTATACAAACACCTGTTAATGACCAGTCAAGCATCTATATTACATATACAGCCCCTGGTCTCTATACAAACACCTGTTAATGACCAGTCAAGCATCTATGTTAACATATACAGCCCCTGGTCTCTATACAAACACCTGTTAATGACAAGTCAAGCATCTATATTACATATACAGCCCCTGGTCTCTATACAAACACCTGTTAATGACCAGTCAAGCATCTATGTTAACATCAGCGGCTTTGTTAGACATCATCCTATTGTGTGACCCTGTGAGACTATCTGTCCCAGACATCAGGCTGGACAATGAACACATTGACCGGAGTAAACATTGTCCACTTGACAGACCCATGGTCAAGTTGCTGTGGGTGATGTTGGACAGTTAGTGTCAGGGAGATGGTCAAGTTGTTGTGGGTGATGTTGGACAGTTAGTGTCAGGGAGATGGTCAAGTTGTTGTGGGTGATGTTGGACAATTAGTGTCAGGGAGATGGTCAAGTTGTTGTGGGTGATGTTGGACAGTTAGTGTCAGGGAGATGGTCAAGTTGCTGTGGGTGATGTTGGACAGTTAGTGTCAGGGAGATGGTCAAGTTGTTGTGGGTGATGTTGGACAATTAGTGTCAGGGAGGTGGTCAAGTTGCTGTGGGTGATGTTGGACAATTAGTGTCAGGGAGATGGTCAAGTTGCTGTGGGTGATGTTGGACAATTAATGTCAGGGAGATGGTCAAGTTGTTGTTGGTGATGTTGGACTCACTCACTCACTCACTCACTCACTCACTCACTCACTCACTCACTCACTCACTCACTCACTCACTCACTCACTCACTCAACCACCCACTCACTCAAACACCCACCCACCCACTCACTCACTAACTCACCCTCTTCACTGGGACACCAGGAGCCATTCCCTGACCAGAGTTACCATGCCCTGACATGCCCTGGTCGTCTTGCAAGCCAACAACAGAACACTGACAGACGATGGTCGTCTTGCAAGCCAACAACAGAACACTGACAGACGGTGGTCGTCTTGCAAGCCAACAACAGAACACTGACAGACGGTGGTCGTCTTGCAAGCCAACAGCAGAACACTGACAGACGATGGTCGTCTTGCAAGCCAACAACAGAACACTGACAGACGGTGGTCGTCTTGCAAGCCAACAACAGAACACTGACAGACGGTGGTCGTCTTGCAAGCCAACAACAGAACACTGACAGACGGTGGTCGTCTTGCAAGCCAACAACAGAACACTGACAGACGGTGGTCGTCTTGCAAGCCAACAACAGAACACTGACAGACGGTGGTCGTCTTGCAAGCCAACAACAGAACACTGAAGTCTGCAGGTCACACCAGTAATTTGCTGAGCAAATTTCTTGGCACGTCATAAGAACTTCCAGCAATACAAGATTCATGACAAGGACACTCTTTGTTTAAAATCCATACAGTACCTAACAAGAAGTGAAGCAAATTCAAAGATTACATCAACTCCTTTATTGGAGCTGACTTGACCAAATTCTTTCTCATCAGACGAGTGTTCCTGTGTTTATCGTGCTCCTGCTGGGAGTGTCCGTCATGTCGAGGACAAACTGACTGAGGTGTTGTCACCTCCTCACAGCTCTGGCTTCCTGTCAATAATACCACAGAGTCGTTAATCTTGGGGTCTCGTGGAGCCGTGACGCGAGCTGTCAGGACTGACCGCTGGTAGTAGGTATCATGTCCGTCCTGTAATTTTCTGAGATGCTGCAAGGTGCGAGAGTCACACGTTCTCCCATCTCTGATTAGATCTGCGCCTTGTGCAATGGCTGTCCGCCCAACATGGCCTCGTTAGGACTCACTAATTGCAGACAAGAAAAGGTCAGCCTGCTGCTCCGCCAGCTTCCCTCACTGTATTTCATTGTGATGTATCGGGGACTAAATTGGTTGCAACATTAACGTGTATCGATGAGAGATTGTTTTCTGGCTAGTCAATTTACAAGCCACTTCAGAAAGTTATGGTCCTCAAATTGGAGATTAAGAAGACGCTAATTGCAATCAGGATATCCACTCAGAAAGTTTCCTTTTCTCATTTCTTATGAATGTTATCATTGATATACTTTAATGAGAAAACAGATACAAACTTTTAATGTGATTATCAATTGATTTGATGGTGTTTCAGTGCAGACCGACAGCCATCAGAAGCATGATTCACAGGGCAGCATATCACTTTGTGTGTGTGTGTGGTGGGGGGGTGGGGGTGGGGTGGGGACAGAAAAGAGGGGGCATAGTGTGTGTGTGTGTGTGGGGGGGGGGGGGGGGGGGGGCAGGCGTAGGGCTATGTGTGTATGTGTGGGAAAATATGCTTTTTTTGAAAATCACAACATACCTTCTTTGACAATCACAACATGCCTTCTTTGACAATCACAACATGCCTTCTTTGACAGTCAGAGCATGCCTTCATTGACAGTCTCAACATGCCTTCTTTGACAATCACGACATGCCTTCTTTGATAGACAATCACAACATACCTTCTTTGACAGACAGTCTCAACATGCCCTCTTTAACAGATAATCATAACATGCCTCCTTTGACAATCACGACATGCCTTCTTTGACAATCACGACATGCCTTCTTTGACAATCACGACATGCCTTCTTTGATAGACAATCACAACATACCTTCTTTGACAGACAGTCTCAACATGCCCTCTTTAACAGACAATCATAACATGCCTCCTTTGACAATCACAACATGCCTTCTTTGACAATCAGAGCATGCCTTCATTGACAATCACAACATGCCTTCTTTGACAGACAGTCTCAACATTCCCTCTTTAACAGACAATCAAAACATGCCTCCTTTGACAATCACAACATGCCTTCTTTGACAATCAGAGCATGCCTTCATTGACAGTCTCAACATGCCTTCTTTGACAGACAGTCTCAACATGCCCTCTTTAACAGACAATCATAACATATGCCTTCTTTGACAGTCTCAACATGCCTTCTTTGACAGACAGTTTCAACATGCCCTCTTAAACAGACAATCATAACATGCCTTCTTTGACAGTCTCAACATGCCTTCATTGACAGACAATCACAAATAGCAAACATGACAGTACAGTTTATTAATAGTAAAATGTTTGGGATACTAGTTTGGAATTGGTTTTACAGAGTGAATGCTTTAACTGAATGTAACACTGATTATTGAGAGTTAAATAGTTTATTGCATGTGAAACGCTTTTAAGTAAATTGTTCCGAGCAGAGTGAAACTGTTCAGTGTTTATCAAAAGAAAAAACCCAGCTGATTGAGAGTAGAACTGCTACAGATGAGTGTGAGAGAGAGGTGAGAGAGGTAGACTGGGACGAAGGACGTTGTCCCTCACAGTTCCTATTGTGTCTCTCCAGTGTCTCTCCAGTGTCTCTCCAGTGTCTTCTCTCCACTGTCTTCCTTCCCAGTGTCTCTCCAGGGTCTCTCCAGTGTCTCTCCAGTGTCTCTCCAGTGTTTTCCTTCACAGTGTCTTCCTTCCCAGTGTCTCTCCAGTGTCTCTCCACTGTCTTCCTTCCCAGGGTCTCTCCAGGGTCTCTCCAGTGTCTCTCCAGTGTTTTCCTTCACAGTGTCTTCCTTCCCAGTGTCTCTCCAGTGTCTCTCCACTGTCTTCCTTCCCAGGGTCTCTCCAGGCTCTCTCCAGTGTCTCTCCAGTGTTTTCCTTCACAGTGTCTTCCTTCCCAGTGTCTCTCCAGTGTCTCTCCAGTGTCTTCCTTCCCAGTGTCTCTCCAGTGTCTCTCCAGTGTCTCTCCAGTGTCTTCCTTCCCAGTGTCTCTCCAGTGTCTCTCCAGTGTTTTCCTTCACAGTGTCTCTCCAGTGTCTCTCCAGTGTCTTCCTTCCCAGTGTCTCTCCAGTGTCTCTCCAGTGTCTTCCTTCCCAGTGTCTCTCCAGTGTCTTCCTTCCCAGTGTCTCTCCAGTGTCTCTCCAGTGTCTTCCTTCCCAGTGTCTCTCCAGTGTCTCTCCAGTGTCTTCCTTCCCAGTGTCTCTCCAGTGTCTTCCTTCCCAGTGTCTCTCCAGTGTCTCCAGTGTCTCTCCAGTGTCTTCCTTCCCAGTGTCTCTCCAGTGTCTCTCCAGTGTCTTCCTTCCCAGTGTCTCTCCAGTGTCTCTCCAGTGTCTTCCTTCCCAGTGTCTCTCCAGTGTCTTCCTTCCCAGTGTCTCTCCAGTGTCTTCCTTCCCAGTGTCTCGCCAGTGAAACGTAAGACCGGGCAACTGACAGAGCCTATCGGATTGTGTGGACGAAGTTTCACACACTATTATAGTGCTGTTATACCTGTTACTTCCTCAAACAAACACATTAGGGCTGTGTGTGGTCAGGAGGCCGCTGTATCAACAAGTCAACGCTCGGAGCCCCACTCATGTCCGACCTGATCGGGGCCTTAGCAGGTGACGACCTCAACACGGCAACACGCCTCGGGTGACCTCCTCATCACAGATACTCCTCGGGTGTGTTGTCCTCAGGGTCGTTGCTAGTCACCCCAACGCTGTCACACAAACACACTAATGAACCCCCTCCACGGGGGTCGACGACATCACAGGGGTAGCACAGGCACTGGGTCACCTTCAGTGGATATGTGCACCGGCCAGGGGCTGCTGTGAGGAAAAGCTACAATCTACATGAGCTGTCTACATGAGCTGTCTACATGAGCTGTCTGCGAAAAATGAAACCATATATCATACAAAAACAGAAATTCTGTGAATACCAAACTCACAATAGATATGTGTACCATACTCACACACAGGAGTCGCAAAGAGGGACAGGTCAGCCGAAATTGCTTAGGCAGAAGGCGAGCTCTTAAACACTTAATGCAACAACAACTGTCTACATGAGCTGTCTGCATGAGCTGGCTATATGAGTTGCACTCGCTCGCTCACTCACTCACTCACCCACCCACTCACTCACTCACTCACTCACTCACTCACTAGAGATTTATATTTTTCAGGGTTCTGTCCGATTCCAAGAATCTGATGATTTCCGAGTGGTTCTGAATGTGACGGCGCCGTCCCTGCAAGATGCATACAGCGTCCAGGCAGACCTGGTACCTCACCGCAACACCCTGATGCTGCAGGTGGTATGTGGAAGAGCTTGATGTCACATGTCACAACAGTACATGACACCATGTCACATGACAGGACATGACACCATAGATGGACTGTAACACAGGAGGACTGTAACACAAGTGGACTGTAACACAGGTGGACTGTAACAGGTGGACTGTAACATGTGAACTGTAACACAGGACTGTAACACAGGACTGTAACAGCTGGACTGTAACACAGATGGACTGTACCACAGGTGGACTGTAACAGGTGGACTGTAACAGAGGTGGACTGTAACACGTGGACTGTAACACAAGAGGACTGTAACAGGTGGACTGTAACATTGGACTGTAACACAGGACTGTAACAGGTGGACTGTAACACAGGAGGACTGTAACAGGTGGACTGCACCACAGGCGGACTGTAACATAAGACTGTAACAGGTGGACTGAAACACAGGACTGTGACACAGGACTGTAACAGGTGGACTGTAACAGAGGTGGACTGTAACAGAGGTGGACTGTAACATGTGGACTGTAACAGGTGGACTGTAAAAACAGGTGGACTGTAACAGAGGTGGACTGTAACAGGTGGACTGTAACACATGGACTGTAACAGGTGGACTGTAACAGAGGTGGACTGTAACAGAGGTGGACTGTAACACGTGGACTGTAACAGGTGGACTGTAACAGAGGTGGACTGTAACACGTGGACTGTAACACGTGGACTGTAACAGGTGGACTGTAACAGAGGTGGACTGTAACACGTGGACTGTAACAGGTGGACTGTAACAGAGGTGGACTGTAACACGTGGACTAACACAAGAGGACTGTAACAGGTGGACTGTAACATTGGACTGTAACAGGTGGACTGTAACACAGGAGGACTGTAACAGGTGGACTGTATCACAGGACTGTGACACAGGACTGTAACAGGTGGACTGTAACAGAGGTGGACTGTAACACAGGAGGACTGTAACAGGAGGACTGTAACACAGGACTGTAACAGGAGGACTGTAACACAGGAGGACTGTAACAGGAGGACTGTGACACAGGACTGTAACAGGGGGACTGTAACACAGGGGGACTGTAACAGGAGGACTGTAACAGGAGGACTGTAACAGAGGTGGACTGTAACACAGGTGGACTGTAACAGGTGGACTGTAACAGAGGTGGACTGTAACACAGGACTGTAACAGGTGGACTGTAACACAGGACTGTAACAGGTGGACTGTAACAGAGGTGGACTGTAACACAGGTGGACTGTAACAGGTGGACTGTAACAGAGGTGGACTGTAACACAGGACTGTAACACAGGACTGTAACAGGAGGACTGTAACACAGGAGGACTGTAACAGGAGGACTGTGACACAGGACTGTAACAGGGGGACTGTAACACAGGGGGACTGTAACACAGGGGGACTGTAACAGGAGGACTGTAACAGGAGGACTGTGACACAGGACTGTAACAGGGGGACTGTAACACAGGGGGACTGTAACACAGGGGGACTGTAACACAGGGGGACTGTAACACAGGACTGTAACAGGGGGACTGTAACACAGGGGGACTGTAACACAGGACTGTAACAGGTGGACTGTAACACAGGAGGACTGTGACACAGGACTGTAACAGGTGGACTGTAACAGAGGTGGACTGTAACACAGGTGGACTGTAACAGGTGGACTGTAACAGGTGGACTGTAACACAGGTGGACTGTAACACAGGAGGACTGTAACAGGAGGACTGTAACACAGGAAGACTGTAACACAGGAGGACTGTAACAGGAGGACTGTAACACAGGTGGACTGTAACACAGGAGGACTGTAACACAGGTGTCCTGTAACACAGGAGGACAGTTCAAAGTGGAATCAAACTCAATCAAAAACTCAAAAACTCAAAAACTCACTCACACCTGTTATTACTGAGAAAGTTAAAGAAAAAATTAGTTTTGGATGATCAATAGAATTTCTAGTCGTCTCGTTTGCTGTAAAATATATCAACACTTTTCAATACAACTCATGTTGATATACTTGATATAATGTGACACTGGGATGAGATTCTGTACGGCCACTTGTTCAACTGTCGCACCCATGATGCTGTTGCTGTTGCAGTACAAGATGAGTGTTCCTGGAGGCTTCAGTCTGCTGTGGTTGTTTGTTGGGATCGCGGCGGCGACATTCCTCGTGTTCGTGTGTGCCGCCATCTACGCCGTGTGCTGGATCAGCTCGGAGCAGTGCATGTACGACCTGGCGGAGCGGAAGAGCTACGCCAGCAGCAGCCAGCCCGGCATCTACCGCTCCCGCAACAGCATGCAGATGGCGCTGCAGCAGGGGGACATCGCGCTGTTGGCAGAGGAGGCGGACAACATCCACAACGACGACACGTTAAAGAGAGTTCCAGAGATGCCAGAGGAAGAGGAAGCCGAGGCCATTGAAATGGTAGACAACACAACACACAACATACGTACAGATGGTAGACAACACAACACACAACATACCTAGACAACGTAACACACAACATACTTAGACAACATAACACACAACATACGTAGACAACGTAACACACAACATACGTAGACAACGTAACACACAACATACGTCAAGATGGTAGACAACATAACACACAACATACGTAGACAACGTAACACACAACATACGTAAAGATGGTAGACAACACAACACACAACATACGTAGACAACGTAACACACAACATACGTAAAGATGGTAGACAACATAACACACAACATACGTAAAGATGGTAGACAACATAACACACAACATACGTAAAGATGGTAGACAACATAACACACAACATACGTAAAGATGGTAGACAACATAACACACAACATACGTAAAGAATGCAGACAACATAACACACAACATACGTAAAGATGGTAGACAACATAACACACAACATACGTAAAGATGGTAGACAACATAACACACAACATACGTAAAGATGGTAGACGGCATAACACACAACATACGTAAAGATGGTAGACAACATAACACACAACATACGTAAAGAATGCAGACAACATAACACACAACATACGTAAAGATGGTAGACAACATAACACACAACATACGTAAAGATGGTAGACAACATAACACACAACATACATATAGATGGTAGACGGCATAACAAGCAACATACGTAAAGAATGTAGACAACATAACACACAACATACGTAAAGATGGTAGACAACATAACACACAACATACGTACAGAATGGAGACAACATAACACACAACATACGTACAGAATGGAGACAACATAGCACACAACATACGTAAAGATGGTAGACAACATAACACACAACATACGTACAGATGGTAGACAACATAACAAAACATACATACGTAAAGAATGCAGACAACATAACACACAACATACGTACAGATGGTAGACAACATAACAAAACATACATACGTAAAGAATGCAGACAACATAACACACAACATACGTATAGATGGTAGACAACATAACACACAACATACGTACAGAATGGAGACAACATAGCACACAACATACGTAAAGATGGTAGACAACATAACACACAACATACGTAAAGATTGTAGATAACATAACACACAACATACGTAAAGATGGTAGACAACATAACACACAACATACGTAAAGATGGTAGACAACATAACACACAACATACGTATAGATGGTAGACAACATAACACACAACATACGTACAGAATGGAGACAACATAGCACACAACATACGTAAAGATGGTAGACAACATAACACACAACATACGTAAAGATTGTAGATAACATAACACACAACATATGTATTGATGGTAAACAACATACGTAGACAACGTAACACACAACATACGTAAAGATGGTAGACAACACAACACACAACATACGTAGACAACGTAACACACAACAAACGTAAAGATGGTAGACAACATAACACACAACATACGTAAAGATGGTAGACAACATAACACACAACATACGTAAAGATGGTAGACAACATAACACACAACATATGTACAGACTGTAGACAACATAACACACAACATACATACAGATTGGTAAGATGGTAGACAGCACAACATGTGAAAAGACTGTAGACAGCACAACATATCAACATATATGAAAATGGTAAACAGCACAACATAAGTAAAAATGGTAGACACGACAACATACATAAAGATGGTAGAAGCACAACATAAGTAAAGATTTAAACAGCACAACGTAAGTAAAAATGGTAGACAGCACAACATAAGTTAAGATTGCAGACAGCACAACATATCACCATACGTAAAGATGGTAGACAGCACAACATAAGTAAAAATGGTTGCAGAACAACATACGTAAAGACTGTAGACACTAAAGATGGTGGACAGCACAACATAAGTAGAGATGGTAGACAGCACAACTTACGTAGCGATTGTAGACAGCACAACATACGCAAATATGGTAGACAGCACAACATACATAAAGATTGTAGACAACACAACATCAGTAAAGATTGTAGACAACACAACATCAGTAAAGATTGTAGACAACACAATATTAGTAAAGATTGTAGACAACACAACATCAGTAAAGATTGTAGACAACACAACATCAGTAAAGATTGTAGACAGCACAATATTAGTAAAGATTGTAGACAACACAACATCAGTAAAGATTGTAGACAACACAATATTAGGAAAGATTGTAGACAACACAACATCAGTAAAGATTGTAGACAACACAACATCAGTTAAGGTTGCAGACAGCACAACATATCAACATACGTAAAGATTGTAGACAACACAATATTAGTAAAAATTGTTGACAGCACAACATAAGTTAGGGTTGCAGACAGCACAACATATCAACATACGTAAAGATGGTAGACAGCACAACATAAGTAAAGATTTAGTCAGCACAACATAAGTAAAGATGGTAGACCCCGCAACACCTGAACGATTGTGGATGGCACCATAACATCCCTGCCATGAGCTAGCTGAGACTCTACAGTGCCTTCTGTGTGTTTCAGGAGGAGCTGAGAAACAAAGACAAAGGAGAAGACTTCACTGACCGAGGTGATGAAGCATCAGTCAACATCACTGAGAAGAATCTGGTGAAGAGTCGCTACCACACCCAGAGCAAGACAATTCACAAAGATCTCATCAAGAAGGGCAAGAGGAAGCGTTTCCGGCGCGGCAAGCCTCACAGCGAGACGTATGACACGGTGATGGAGTATCCAGAGAACTCATCTGAAGGATCCGGGGCTTCAGAAGCAGATGGAGAAGACAAAGAGGAGGATGGGAAAGGGAAACACGAAGCTCGGGAACACCACGTCATGAAACAGGGCCGAGAGATGACAACCTTCCATCCTAAGCTGACTCGCTCTGCCGCACCTGACCCAAGTCACAGAGACATGGATCACCCTCAACACCACGCCCCTGCCCCGCCCCACACAGCAGGTGCCACCCCAGGGGGTGAGGCCACCAGACCAGACCCAGCTGACCCTACTGACCTCACCGACCCAAACTATACCCCCTTCCTGGTGCAGGCCGACGTCCACCAGATCGGTCTGGCCGCTGAGATCCTCCGGAACCCCCCGGACAAGAGACATGCGGGGAACCCCGGCCATGGCAGGTCGGGCGTGGCTCCAGTTCCGATACCGGTCAAAGTTCCCCAGAGGAAGGTGGCATTTTCAGATGATGAGAGGAATGATGCCAAGTCCTGCCACGAAGCACTGGAGATATTTCAGGAGGTATGTTTCAGTTGTGTTAGGAGATATTTCAGGAGGTGTGTTTCAGTTGTGTTGGGAGATATTTCAGGAGGTGTGTTTCAGTTGTGTTGGGAGATTATTCAGGAGGTGTGTTTCAGTTGTGTTGGGGAGATATTTCAGGAGGTGTGTTTCAGTTGTGTTCGGAGATATTTCAGGAGGTGTGTTTCAGTTGTGTTGGGAGATTATTCAGGAGGTGTGTTTCAGTTGTGTTGGGGAGATATTTCAGGAGGTGTGTTTCAGTTGTGTTGGGAGATATTTCAGGAGGTGTGTTTCAGTTGTGTTAGGAGATATTTCAGGAGGTGTGTTTCAGTTGTGTTGGGAGATATTTCAGGAGGTGTGTTTCAGTTGTGTTGGTTGGGGAGATATTTCAAGAGGTGTGTTTCAGTTGTGTTGGGAGATATTTCAGGAGGTGTGTTTCAGTTGTGTTGGTTGGGGAGATATTTCAAGAGGTGTGTTTCAGTTGTGTTGGGAGATATTTCAGGAGGTGTGTTTCAGTTGTGTTGGGAGATTATTCAGGAGGTGTGTTTCAGTTGTGTTGGGGAGATATTTCAGGAGGTGTGTTTCAGTTGTGTTGGGAGATATTTCAGGAGGTGTGTTTCAGTTGTGTTAGGAGATATTTCAGGAGGTGTGTTTCAGTTGTGTTGGGAGATATTTCAGGAGGTGTGTTTCAGTTGTGTTGGTTGGGGAGATATTTCAAGAGGTGTGTTTCAGTTGTGTTGGGAGATTATTCAGGAGGTGTGTTTCAGTTGTGTTGGGGAGATATTTCAGGAGGTGTGTTTCAGTTGTGTTGGGAGATATTTCAGGAGGTGTGTTTCAGTTGTGTTGGGAGATATTTCAGGAGGTGTGTTTCAGTTGTGTTGGGAGATATTTCAGGAGGTGTGTTTCAGTTGTGTTGGGAGATATTTCAGGAGGTGTGTTTCAGTTGTGTTGGTTGGGGAGATATTTCAAGAGGTGTGTTTCAGTTGTGGTGGTTGGGGAGATATTTCAGGAGGTGTGTTTCAGTTGTGTTATAAAAAACAGATAACCTTTATTTCCATGTGAGGAACACAATATCAGTTAAACACCTGACCAAAACAAGGTTTCTGTAGCATACATTCTGTGTAAATTTTTCAAAACTTTAGGAAAACACAAAGTTGTTGGCTAATGTTACTTTTGACTGATACAAAAAACGAATAACCTCAAATTAAATTCTGTGCCAAACACTCAGGTCAAAGTAAGTGTGCCCTATAAGTGCCATTTCCCTGCACAAGTCAAAAAGATGAAGTTGGATGTTTTGTTTTCTTCATAAAAAGACAACAAGATGTCTTGAAACAAGATTATGTAAATCTAATAACCTTTATTCCCTGGTGAGGAACACAATGTCAATGAAAAACCAGACCAAAATTGTTGTCAAGTTCAACAAAAATAAAACTTTGACTTGAGTGAGCGAGTTGGGTTAAACGCCTCTTTTAGCAGAATTGCAGCTATATCGCGGCGTGTCAGCTTGATGTGAGAGGAAAGCCCTGAAGTGATGCAGGTCCAGGACGTTTACCACTTTGGTGAAACCCACGAGCACGGGTATGGTGCTGACAAACCTAGAAACATAATCGGGGCGAACTGGGATTCAAACCCACAATCATAGGTTTCTGGCGTGCCCAAGGGTTGCAACTCTGCAAAACGAATTACAGCGCCTTAGACGGCAGGGCCACCCGTGCCCCCACTTTGACTTGAAGTAAATTGGGTCATACAATGACATCATCCAAACAATGTTTCTTAAGCACACATTCTGTGTAATATAAACTTTAAGAACACACAATCTTACGGGATAATGTTACTTTTGACATATTGACACAACAAACAAATAACCACAAATTATATTCTGTGACATACAGTCATGTCAAAGTAAATGTGACTTTTTCGCTCTCAGCAAAAGGCACTTAAATACTTCATCATTAACCTGACCCTAACCCTAACCCTAACACTTATTTTATAAACCCTAACCCTAACCCTAACACTTATTTTATAAACCCTAACCCTAACCCTAACCCTAACACTTATTTTATAAACCCTAACCCTAACCCTGACTTCACTAGCAGCAAAAGGCACTCGTACACTTCATCATACTGTTAATTGCAGTCATGGATTCTGGATACAGTAGGCGACCATTGTCGTCACATTCAACTTCAGTGTCAGTGTCAGGCTTTCTCTTAGGACAGCCAATGTGACCATGAATGACCACATTCCTGTGTCCAGACTCATTGCAGTAACAACACGTAGGTCATTTACGTGTGGGTCGTGGGATCTCCAGGTCAGCATGACCTAGTTCCTGTGTCCAGACTCGTTGCAGTAACAACACGTAGGTCATTTACGTGTGGGTCATGGGATCTCCAGGTCAGCATGACCAAGTTCCTGTGTCCAGACTCATTGCAGTAAGAACACGTAGGTCGTGGGACCTCCAGGTCAGCATGACCTAGTTCCTGTGTCCAGACTCATCGCAGTAACAACACGTAGGTCATTTACGTGTGGGTCGTGGGATCTCCAGGTCAGCATGACCTAGTTCCTGTGTCCAGACTCGTTGCAGTAACAACACGTAGGTCATTTACGTGTGGGTCATGGGATCTCCAGGTCAGCATGACCTAGTTCCTGTGTCCAGACTCGTTGCAGTTAGAACACGTAGGTCATTTACGTGTGGGTCGTGGGATCTCCAGGTCAGCATGACCAAGTTCCTGTGTCCAGACTCATCGCAGTTAGAACACGTAGGTCATTTACGTGTGGGTCGTGGGATCTCCAGGTCAGCATGACCAAGTTCCTGTGTCCAGACTCGTCGCAGTAACAACACGTAGGTCGTGGGACCTCCAGGTCAGCATGACCAAGTTCCTGTGTCCAGACTCATTGCAGTAAGAACACGTAGGTCGTGGGACCTCCAGGTCAGCATGACCAAGTTCCTGTGTCCAGACTCGTCGCAGTAACAACACGTAGGTCATTTACGTGTGGGTCATGGGAGCTCCAGGTCAGCATGGCCAAGTTCAGACTCATGACTAACACTTGGCTCGTATACATCAGGGGGGCGGTCGGGTAGCCTAGTGGTTAAAGCGTTTGCTCGTCACGCCGAAGACCCGGGTTCGATTCCCGACATGGGTACAATGTGTGAAGCCCATTTCTGGTGTCCCCCGCCGTGATATTGCTGGAATATTGCTAAAAGCGGCGTAAAACCATATTCACTCACTCACTCACTCACGTCTACATCAGGTGGAGCTACTGCTGGCTAAGGATACAAAACATCTCTTGATTCCGGCTTGCAAAGGGGTCTGATCTGATTGTATAGGTACCATTTCCTCTCCACAGACAACCCAACAGGTTCAATAACTGGAGACAGTCCTGTAGATTTGGTCTGTCTCTCTCAACTTCAAAATATTGGAACGGTTGTGAGAGACTTGGCAGCTTCCTAAAACCAACAGCATTGAACAGCTTCTGCCTGTCAGAAGTGGGAACAACATGTTGTCAAGACATTCACTCTGGATGGAGGCCTTGAGTTGTACACACACGTTTCAACATCGGCAATTGTGTCAACTTCAGACCTTCTGAATCAAGACTTGAATATTCCAAAAGCCCAGTCTGGTTTAAAATTAGTGTGACCCACTGGCAAACAACAGAGTTGATCACTTTCATGCAGATTTTTTCAACTCTCCATAAGAGGTAACCTATTACAAAATTGTTTTTGTTTTGACCTATGCAATTGTCCATGTAGCAAATGGCCCTGGCTTCTCCAAGCCCATAGTTAGCCAAGTAGAAGTGTAACGTGCTTGTGCCCCCTTCCTGTAACACCTCTCTGGCTTGATGAACTTCACTAGCTTGCTGGTAGCTTCACACATAACACCAAATATCCCAACTTTATAAGGGGTCAGAAAATAGATTGGTCCTGCATGCTGTGAACTGTGAGGGATGTGTACTTGCTGGGCAAAGTCAAAGCTGTAATGCATTTCTCCCTCAAAGGAATTAGGCTGGTGAGGCTCTAGCCTGGGTGCTGGGTGTGACAGCAAGTTTTCTTTGCTGGTCTGGATTTTACCGGCATGCATATGTTGCAGATGTCTTAGGGATCTCTGCAGAAGATCAGTCTTTAGTTCCTCAGACATTGCTGACATTTCACTGAGGTTAACAACATTGCTTTGGCAAACATGGCAAAGATCCGATCTTGGGCGCTGTTTAACCAGGAATGAAAAAGCATCCTTCCATATCCGTCTGAAAGTACTGAGAGATACTGTAGGTGTGTCATCGGGGCTGCTTTCCAGATAAAGTCTATGGAGTTCTGACTTACTGAGACATGATGGCTAAAAATTCATATCAGCCGATTTCACACCCGGACATGACCAGGAAGTACAAGGGTGTGTTGTTGGCTTAATTTTGCAACCAGACTGTCACAAGCTGGATACCAGCATTGCCATGTTGTCGGAGGCCATCCTGGACACGTTTCGTGAGACGATTGTAGCGCTTCCATCCAATAGCATGAACAAAACAAAATGTTTTCAGACATATTGGCCTTCCTTATCCAGTATGCACAGTGCACAACCCAGGTTGTCATCCTCATTAAAGTCCTCAAGGGCAAAGGCAATATCACAGTTACTTACAGAAATATCCCTGTAACTGTTCAGATTGTCGGCAATGTTGGAAACACTCCTATTCTCTGCAACAGGTGCTCCGTGTGGAGCCGACCAGGGCACTCCGCTGAACCACAACACACGACTCCTGGTGAGGAAACCGCGCACTCAGATGCATGTCCTGCTCAATGTGTTCATCATCTGCCAAGACATAAACAAGAGAGCACACTGCACTTGGCTTTTGCAAGAATTGTGGCAATCTGGTAGAGTTGAACATGTAAACTTACATCCTGACACATCAACATCCGAAGGAACACACTTCCTAGCGATGTCACACAAAACATCACACAAAACATCACACGTCATGGGAGTAAATATGCAGCCATAGTAATTCATCTGAAGCCACAC